AACAAAATATCAATGGAGCTAATTAACATGAAGGGACAAATTTACTTAAAGTAATATAATAATTAAATAAAGCATTGTGCAATAAAACGATGAGTTACCAAAATTTTCAAAAGCAATTACCAGTAATCAGAATATAAATAATAAAAATTCATAAACTTATTAACGAAATATAAACATTTAAAGTATTACGTATCGTAAAACCTTTGAAATATTACGTATCGTAAAAATATCATAATACTATACATCGTAAAACTGTCATAATACTACGCATTGTAAAATCATCATAATACTACGCATCGTAAAACTGTCACAATACTACACATCATAAACCGTTGCAATACTACGCATTGCAAAATTGTCGCAATAATATGCAACGTAAAACATTCGAAGTCCTACGCGTCATAAAGCTTTGAAGTATTACACATACGTAAATTTTTCAATAATCTTGTAACCTTACGTAATATTACAGGCGTAAGGATTATATAATACTTCACTTTATTAAATTTACTGATGTGTATAAGAATTTTTATTGTAAACTTGTGTATTGTAAGCATGTCAGACATCTGTATCAGGTTAGTGATGCATACAATTTTTGAAAAAATAATTTAAGATTTTTTCCCTTTTAAAATAAAGTTTTTTAATTTACATTAAACATATTTTCACTTATTTTGCAAGTTTACTTAAAAACTGAAAGAAGGTTATAAATATCAATTTTTATTTAAATATAAATTATTGATTTTTATGTCTTTACTAATCTTTCCAAATTAGAATATGGCAAAAAACAGTTTTTGTTAAATAGCTTGAAAATGGCCTTCTAAATCACCCATATGTGCTTTAAATAAACTTGCAGAACAGTCAAAATTATACACAATATATTGATTTTTAAAGTCACATGTTAAAACATTAAAAAATTTTTTATTTTTTGTAATTTTTTACTATGCTACACATGTATTACCAACCTGATACAGATTTCTGACATGCATATTAAAATTGTATAAGAATTCTCAAACTTGTTTATTATATCAAAAAAATTTAAAGCTTTATTTTTTTTATAGAAAGAGTTTATCAATTTGTTGTTTAATTCCTTCTATTTTAAGTATATAAACATTACTATTATTTGATTGTATTATCTTTTAATCAATTGTTTGAATAATTTTCATAAGATTATTTTAGTGTTATCTAGTTTATCTAAAAAAAGATTAAATACATATTTTTTTTAAAAAAACTTTATTTAAATGAGTTTTTTTAAAAACACATTTTTATTTTTTTTAAAAAAAAAATGGATGAAAATCCAAATGATAAACAAAACAATGAACAACAATAAAGACTTTTAGAATTACATAAATTATTAGCAAAATGTATTTTTAAACTTCATAAATATACAACAAAATCATTATTATTAACATCACTTTCATCATCATTTTCTTCATCACAATCATTATCATCATTATTATCATCATAATTATCAACAAAAATTTCTTTTCAATCAAGACATTCTTCTTCAGTTCTATTATTATCTCAGTTAGTATATAATTTTTTTTTATTTAAATAAAATAATAAGTAATTTTTTTATTAATATATTAGTATAAAAGGAAAAATATTTATATTACTACCACTATTACTAACATCATCATCACCATTATCATCATTTATATCATCATTATTATCATTAATATCATCATCATCATTAATAACAACAGCACAAACAATACTAATACCATCAACATCACTAATATCATCATCATTATATATAAAAAATATAATATTTATATGTTTTATATAATAATTTTAATTGTTTTTAATTATTTTCTAATTTAATTATAGTAAATTATTAAAACCATCAAATACAACCATAATAACATTAACAATAGCAAACTAAATTTATAAGAATATGTGTTGTTTTTGTAATCAATTAGGCTATTAGATAGTATTACTATCCAGATATTCTAATTGAATATCATAATTATTGTTTTAAATGCTAAACTACAAGTGATCATATGGCAAAAAACTGTACATCTTCATAAAATAAACCTTCGTGAAAATAAGCAAAATATTAATAATAAAAATAAAAAAGAATTTATTTATAAATATTAAATATTTTATTTATTATAGTTAAATTATAAATATATAATTATTATATCAATACCAATACCAACAATATCACTAATACCAATACTAATGTCAATGCTAATACTATTGCTAATATTAATATTAACATTAATACCAACGTCAATGCTAACAACACCAATACTATACCTATATCAATACATATACTAATACATATATCAATACCAAAACCTAAGCTAATACCAAATAAAACCTACGCTAACACTAAAATCTATGCTATCTATGCTAACACCTAAGCCATCTATACTAAAACCTATACTAACACCAACATTTATGATAATATAAATACTGATATCAACACCTAAAAAATTTTTTATTTTTATTTTTTTCTCTTATTTTAAAAAAATCTTTTTTGATTGAAAGTCAAAAAAAAATATTTTTTTATTTTTTTTATTTTTTTATTTTTATTTACATATATTTTTTTTAATAAATAAAATAAATAAATATATATTTTTACTTTTTAATGAAGATTAATATTGTTATTTTATTTATTTTATATCTTATAAAATTATCAATATCAATAAAATAAATTTTTCAATTTCATTTAAAAAATTATTATCATATTATGGATAAATATATTTTACACATTTTAATAGTTATCAATTTATTGAAGTCATTGGAATTGATAAATGTGTAGGATTTTTAACATAGGTAATAATAAATATATTTTAGAAAGAAAATATTGTTATAAATATATAAACCGATTTGTATTATAAATAAAGTTTTTTCCTTTTTAAATTATATAATGAATCAAATTTAATTTATTTGCAAAAAAATAATTAAAAAAATTTAAACAATCTTAAAAATAATAAAAATAAATATAAAGCATAAACTAAAATGAATATATAATAATTTTTTATATAAAATAATAAATTACTCTAAAGTATTATTTTTTAAAATGAATTTTATTCTTTTATTTTAAAATAACCCTGATTTTAACCATCTTTTAAAATATATGTATTTATAAATTGTTTCATTTTTTAAACTGCATCTTTTTTTATACTACCAAATCTGTTCCACCTGAAAAATTCTTTCTATAGGTACACTTGTAGCTAAAAAATAATTATAATAAATTTTTATTAGTAAATATAATTTATAAAATAATTACAATCATAATATTTATATTAACCTGTAACAGCTAAGTAATCTTTAGTCATTTTAGAAAGATTTGGATATTCTCTTTCATAAAACTTTATAATAATTTAATAAGTTAAAAAAAAGAAATAAATTATTATAATAAATATTTTTTTACAATACTTACTTTTCACCATAATAAAATATCAGTTTTATTAGATATTATTGGATCTCTAAGGTAAGATTTAAGCTCATCTCTGATTTTTGTTTTTTTTTTTAAAAAATATGAGTAAGGATATTATCTTCTAAATTGTCAGAAGAATAGCTAATATCTGCAATATTTTTGTATTTTTTTTCCAAACATCAGTTATAATTTTTTTTGCTTTATTAATATAAAAAAAATTTCAATTATTATTTTCATAATATTGTAATTTTAACTTTGGATCTATTACTATTAATTACAAATAAAATTTATTAATATTATTATATAAAAATGAAAAATATCTAATTTTAACTAACCTGTAGCAATAACATAAATATGTTTATTTGTTAATAGATAATATTCTAAAATTTCTTTTGCTAATTTTGCTGAATTTTTAATTTCAATTCTATTATTATCATTATTAATTGTATTTTCAAGTTTATCTATTAAATAATTATAAACTGAAACAATATATAAAAGTGTAGGATATAATTGACCAGTAATAAAATCTGATCCTTTTTAAAATGCTAAATATAATTAATTATTAATAAATATATATAATATACTTTAAATAAAATTTTTAAATAAATTACAAACCTGTAAAAATTCATGTATTTCTTTAATATAGTTCTATTCATAATTTGAAAGAATATATATATTAAGTTTTTCATCAGATGATACTATATTATGACAAGCATTTTTTTAATAAATGAGCTCTTTTTAACATCATATCTGTAGAATTCTAACAGATTTTAATATCTATAATTAATTCTAATTTTGAAAGATTTAAAGCAATACATTGTTGATAAAATCTTTTACGTTGTTAAGGTAAAGTACAAATTTTTACTACTAATTTTCTAAGCTTAATAATTATAATAAAAATAAAATTAAATTAATTATAAAAGTATTTTTATATTAAATAATAGAATATAACTTACTTTATATATAATATTTTATAAATTTTCATCAGTTTCAATCTCTTTATTTAAGGTATTTTCATTATCTAATCCTAATGCATTAAGATTTTTAAGTACTTTTTGTACAGCTATATTAATAATATGAGCAAGACATCTAACATGTTTATGATATGGATCAAATTTAATATTTTGCTCATTTAAACTCTTTGTAGCATTGTATTCATATTTGTTACATTATCATATACAATTGCTAAAATCTAAAAATAAAAATAAAAATTTAAATTTATTAAATATAATATAAAAAATAAAAATTTATATTTAAATAAATTTATATACTTTTGTTAAAATATCAAAATTTTGCAAAACTTCTAAAAATTTGTTTGCTAAATTTTCTCTAGAATGTGAGAAGAAATCTTCATTGTGACTGACATTTTGTCACCTCCAAGTTCTTTCTCGATATTTACATCAAACATATTAAACATCAGTTCATCAGGATTGATATTAACCCTCCACAATTCCATATCATAAGTTTGGTTTCTCCTCCTTAATTATTTCTTTAAGACTGCTAATAGTCAAATCCTTTTTTAGTTAATTGAAAAAATATGATTATTTTCTGGAGTGTCAATATAAGTGAAACAATTAAGATTAATAGATGATCTAATTGGATAATAGAATCACTCATGATTGTAGGGTGTAAAAGTGTTAAGGTGTAAATGTAATAAAAGAGTTAAGGAAAGACTTCAAGATGAAAAAAAAAGAGAAAGATAACACTCCTTTTTTATATTTTTTAATCTCTTAAACTCAAACTCTTAAAAAAATATATATTGATTCTCTCGCATGAAATATGTAAGTCAATCCCCCTTATTATGACATTTTGACTATTTGACTATATCATTGCATGTACAGTATGTTCACTTATAAGTATAGTATGTACTGCGCCTTAATATTCTATTAATTGCGGTTTGTTATTTTTCTTTTCCGACTTGTCTTTGGACAATTTTCTTAATCTGAGCTATACACAGGAACCAATCTACCATAATTTTTTTTTCATATAACTGCACATTTTATTTTCAGTTGGAATGTTTAAAAAAAAGTATATTTTTTCTTTGAGATTAGGCTTGATTCCGTTTAATTATTTGCAAAGCGTATTTTACGTATAAAAAAAAAGTCAATAAAAGTTTGGTAATGAATCTGTCATAAAAAAGTGAGAGATAATTAATTATAGGTAATAAAATTTTAACATACTGTTCAGTTATACTAAATCTTAGCATTTTTCAAAGAATCAAACAGATTTTATATTTATTTCTTTCATAAAAAGCAGAAATTTCTGTAATATACGGATGAAATTTCTGAAGGATATGTTGGTAAATATTAGCAGCATTACACTATTACGCATATGAAATTTCCGATATAGCAAATTTTTCCATTAACTGAAAGTTAAATTAGCAGATTATTATTTAAATCACTTTACATTATGTTAAAGATTGACCTCAGAAGTTTTTAACGAATACGCAAATATTATGCTTTACTCTGTCTGTATTTGCAACTTATGTTTTTATGCTTTTTACATTTTTAAATTTATGTTGTAGCTACAATTATATTATTGTTGAATAATTATCTTCGAACAGAATCTCCCATTATTATAACTATTCCTGAATTCTACGACGCTTGCCCTTTTAATAGTGTTTCATGAACTCATGACGATTGTTAAAACCTTCATCACATTCAGGATAGCCAATATCTAAATCACTTTCACTACTTTCAATGTGATGCCTTAATAAAACAACCCATAAATATATAAATGATAAAATTTATTGCACAGAAATAAAGAAATAACTCACCGGAAGAATTTCAAAAGCAGTTGATACGTGATCAGTTCAAAAAAGAACTCTGTGAAGAAAATTGCATTGCTCTAAGATAGGTTTGGTATTATGAGGATCCATACGGGGTCTCATTGAATAAACTCAAAATTTTAAATGCTTTTGCGATCCACTATTATTTTTTTCGACTATAATTTTATTCATCCGGAATCACAAAGAATCGAATAAAAATTTCTCACACAAACCACATCGTATACATGTTAAAAATCGTGAGCAACCAAACAAATCATTAATTCTTGCCTATGTATATTTGCTTTACAAAATCACGTTTATATACTAATGCCTGACCACATCGTCTTTCGTTTGTCTAAATTATCTGTACTATACATTATCCCATGATCTGGTTTCATTTGTCCTAATCATCGATATTCTGGATGAAGTAAAACTGTGTTTTCAGTTATACTGTGAGAGATATGCAGTGTCGGAAAATATTAACCTTAATTTGCGTAAGTCCAGTCCAGCGTAAATACTAAGGTGGCTTAGGTATGTGAAAATTTTTTCTGTCGATCTCGGCACTAATTTTTCCGTAAATTTGTAAATTTTGTAATCATGTGAGACCCTGATAAATATCAATTGTTGCACGAAAATCTTTACTGCGACACAACCATCGGTTTAACTAAAGCCTGCCTATCGGCGGTAATTGTATCTCAAATACACTTAGAACTGGTCGTGTTTCTCGTTATATAATACAAGTTACTCGTGAAAAGATCTTTTTCAATCGGAAACGAGAACTTGTTAAGTTTAAAAATGCATTTAGTGCCGATCCGGAGCTTCATGTCCTCCTAGTACTGGGAAAACCGCACTGATCCATGAGGTAACGAGTAAAGGCGATTTCAACCCTCTTTTTATCAACTGTCGTGAAGGACAATTTGACACACCAAAGAGGATATACGATTCAATATCTTCGCAATTCGAGCCATTTTTCAAAAAATATACGGATCTCTTTAAAAAGTTAATTGAACAAGGAGAAGTCAGTGATATCCAGTTAAAAGTTAATACATTTGGTGGGGATCCATTTAGTGAGAGAGTAATTACTTCTAACGATGTCAGTAAGTTGCTTGATGGTATTGGTAATGCTCTCCCGAATTGGACCCGCTGGGATGGTTACAAGGTACCTCCACCCATTTTAGTCATCGATGAAGCAAACATGTTTAGCCAACTTTGTGTTGCGGAAGAGGGAAAAGTTCTTCTCAAATCAATTCTGAACTGGATGGTAGTAAATACAAAAGAAAAGGGACGCTTTCATGTAGTACTTACCTCTTCCGATTCATTCTTTTTTGATTGGATCGAAAATCGTAAGTCTTTCTTATAATCATATTTGATAGCAATGTAAATGTTTATGATCCTCTAATCCGCATTTATTGCCTAGTTTTACTTATCCCACACGCAACCCCATATGTTGTTGGAGATTTGAGCAAGGAAGAAGCCAAAGAATATTTTGAAAAGCAGGTTCTTCCTCGATATGGTATGTCTTTACTGAACCATCTATTTATATCACATGATGGTATTTGTTATTTAAAAAAGAATGCAAAGAACTCGAAGGCAAATTTGACCGCGTTCGCAGAATAACGGGTACACGTATGCTGATTATTGATAGATATGTTAAAGAATACCAAAATTATGATGGAAAGTTTGAACGTGCTTATCAGATTTTATTTCGTTTTTAAAGGATATGCATTTTTGTTAATTTTAAAAAATCTAAAAAGTTTTGAACAAATTGTTTTAGATAGCGATTTTTCAATTTACGAATCAGAATATGATAAGTTGAAACGTGGTCTCTATCCTAAGAATTTGAGATATTCAGATAAGCACAATCCACCACTTTGGAAAGATTATGATTTAATCAAAACCATGGAAGCAATTGTGAAGGCAGAGGATCAAGGGTACATTTTAGAAGATGACTTGATTAAAGCAATTGGTTTTGAACAAGTTGAATCACTTGTAGAATATAATTTTTTGCACCGTCGACCAACCATGCGATTTGCTAATGATATTGACTCACCAAAAAAAAATCCAATTTTGACTGCGATGAACCAGCCATCAGTACGTGCGATGGAGCAAGTCTTATCTGAAGTTACTTCCAACAAAAAATAATTACTATAGTTAAAATTTTTTTGTAATTTTATCGTCTCACAGTTTTTAATAGTAGATATTTTACTATGCAAAGTACTTAAGACTTGTCACTTCTCAAGAACATAAAATCAAAATAAACTTGCCAAATGCTACATAATTTTTGAAATACTTTATTTTTAATATGACAAAACTAACTTTATTATTTTCTGTGCATAATACATAAAAATCAATCGAAAACATATTCTTTATTATGTAATATGAATACATTAAGAGAGAGCTCAGCCGGCCAAGTAAAAATAATGGAAAAGCAGGATTTCAAGGGAGGAAATTTGCTGAGTCCTAACCCATATAATGGAACCCTGTTATTCCCGTTACAACATTTTGATGGAATAATGATTTTTTTATATGTTTATTCGAATTACGCTTTTTCGACAATATTAATATTTTTGGGAGGATATTATCAAAATAAAATCATGAAATTATTAGAATTTTATACGGTGTTTTACACAGCACATGCCATAGAGTACATAGAGTATATAGTAATAGATAACGTTATTTGTTTTTTGAAGGAAATTTATTTTTTTGGCATTAAGGGTGAAGACAATAATAATAATTATGACTTTAATAATATTATCCAATTTTTTTAATAATAGTCTACTTTATTTAAGAATTTGCAGTTTTCGAGTTTTCGGGCACAAGCAAAATTATTTATATAATTAATACAAAAATAAAATATATGTATCGATACATTTTTGTTTAATACTTTAATCATAATTGTAATTGTTATACGAAGGTGACCATACAACACATATGACAAGACCAAAGAACAGAAAGATATAAGATAAAATAACTTACATATAAAATCTTAAATATCTACTGCAACTAGAGCCTGAGGTAGGTAACTCTAAGAAATGCATCCCGAAAGCGAGAAGCCAGGCCTAAGGAACGCTGTTTTCTTGACTCGTAAAGGCAGATACATAGCGATTTCCTCCTCCGGAAAAAGCAGTCCCTTACCGAAAAAAAACCCACTCTCTCTAATAGGTTACCGTTCAACCCCCTTCCGGTAGCCTAGTTAAAGCCCAACAAAGTTGACTTGCCTATTAAGCTCCTACCCCCCCAGGTCCAGCTGCAACTCTACGTTCATCCTCTTTACCCGAAGAAAAAAATAATAATAAAAATAACAAAAACAAATAAATAGATACCATCCTTGCCTACTATTTCCACTTTCCCGTTGTTGTCTAATAAAATCAAGAATATTAAACGTTAAAAAGGTTCAATACTTAAACATTTTTTTTTGGTCTTGTCAATAAGTGTTGTCGTATGTCGCGAGAAAAAAAAGAAGCTTAATTTGGAACGCGTATTAAATATGGCAGAAGATGAGAAATAAGACTTGTAAGAAAGAAAAAAGAAAAGTATTATTAGTGACATTTTTCCCAAGAATTTTATCGAAGACAAGTTTCGAGTTTTGTAATAGAGAAGTTTTTTTTACGGGAAGGGTATGGAAATTTTGAGACGGAAGGAAAAAGATGTAAAAATACCATGACTTAACGCGTAATGTGAAATGTTTATTTCCTAAATTCCTAAATGGGAAGAACGCGAAGTTTATTTTTACGATATTGATGTCATGTGTGCAAACTTGAAGGTCGGCTAATTTGTGTGAATAAGAAAATTTTTTGTACGTGATCATCTCATAAATAAATTAATCAAATCTAATTGGTTAAGTGATATAAAAGATTTATTTATTTATTTTGATTGGTTAAATGATAAACCAATTACCGTATAGCGCTCTATAAAGTATCTCCTTTAAAAAGTACCCCAGTTAATTGTATCCGAATATTATATTATTTATGTAACATAAAAATTTAATTAATACCCGGATATAAAATAAAAGCTTTACTTTACTAATTTGATCAAGTAATTAATAAATTTGATAATAACAGAATTGAGTAAGAAGTTTAAGATGATTCTATTCATTAATAAAATTAGTATAGAAGAAGCAAACTTAAAACTTAATTAAATTTCATAAATAAAATTAATAAAATTAAAAAATAATTAAATTTATTATTTTCTATTTTATTTCAAATTCTCAAATATTTCATTATATTATTATACATTTAATTCTAATACTTAATATGATTTCTTTCTTGTGTTTCATAATAATCATCTTCACATTCTTTATCATCAATATTATTTTTTCTTTTTCTAAATAAATTTTAATATTTCTAGCTTCCTGATCATCTATTTCATCATTTAAAGAAAGAGAGGGAAAGAGAGAAGTATACATAATTATTATTAGTAGTAGTATTACTTCCTACAACTTTATCATAATCAAATATAAGATATTCTTCACTTTTATCTTGTTCATTAGAAATTTCACAACACTTGAATGAATAACAAATTAAAAAAAGATATATAGCATTTCATGCATTTTTGACTTATTGAGCAACTAAATTATAAGCAGGTTTTTGAATATGATCACTTGAAGTATAAGTTTTTATTTCTTCAACCATCCAATCATTATAATAATGATGCAACTTTTATTAATATAAATAAAAATTTAAGTATTTGATTTATAAATATATAAATATAAATTTTTTTAAAATATACTTTAGATATAAAAGATTTGTTAACTGATATATCTAATGGTTGCAATTTGGAAATAAGCCTACCAGGTATAACTGCTATATTAGTATTTTTTCTTGAAGTCAAGTTTTAATAGAATTTACTAAATGACCTGTAAAAGAATCAAGCACTAATAAGAATCAAGAATTACTAAATAATAATACATGTTGATTCCAAATATTTTTAATCTAAAATAGCATTTCTTTTGTATTAGAATAATCTTCTTTATTAGTTCTAATAATAATATTTGAAGGAAAAACTTATTGAGGAACTTTTGCTAATTTAAAAATAATTGTTGCTGGTAATTTTGTTCCATTCGTCATATAAGCTAAGATTACAGTGAAATTTAATTTTTCATATCCACAAGTCCAAATATTAACAGTTTTTGAACCAGTTTATTCTATTGTTATTTGGCTAGAAAGATCAAATAAAACAGGTTTTTTATTTATATTACCAATAAGTTTTAATGGATAATTATATTGAATTCATTGATAAAAAACAAATCCTAAAAACTTATGTTACTTTTCTAATAAATATTCAGATAATTGTTATGCTATAATTGTACGTTAATAGTGACTAAATTTATATTATACCATAAATTTATCAATCTATTTACTACTAAATTTGTATTCTTTAATATCAGGATAAATAGTATAAAATTGATCTGTTTGTGCAAGAGCTTTAGTCTTTATTTGTATCATTAATTGAGTTATTACTTTTAAATTTTGATATAATTCTTTAACTCACTGGTCTAAAACTATTTCAAGTTCTGGATATTTTGGATATAAACTATTATTTAATTATCGAATATAAGGTGAAACTTCTATTAATTGTTATTTAAGTTTACGTTATTTTCTAACTTAAACAGGTTCAATATTAAATATAATAGCTGTCGCTTAAATACTATTTTGTAGATAATTTTCAAGATAGGTTAAAATAGCAATTTTTCTCACGCATTTCATTGATATCATTTTATTTGGATAATAGTTGTTTGATAATAGTGTTTATTTGCATTAGATAGAGATATAAATTATACAATTTATTATATGTATATAATAAAAAATAAAATTTTTTTTTCACTTTGCTAATTTCATTTGATATGTTTAAAGTTAAAATCCAGATTTTTTTAATGCGTTCATTTTAATCATTTTTTTATATATGGTATGATATATGCTAATCATCTTTAAATCACATGCATATGGGAGCTGTGCTATTAAAAATGGGTTATGGAAACCTTTCAAAAAAAAGAGATTTTTGATTCATTATAGTATATTAAATGAACTTTATTTGGTTAAATTTTTAGAGGCTATTAGCTTATTAATAAAACAAGTACTGTAAAATGCGTTCTATAGTACCCCTGTGTATAATACACCTTCTAGAGCAGCTTAGAATGTAAATACCCCGGGTACTATATATTGTGAATGTCAAACCTCATGTAAAGTACCTGAGTACTATAACCTGATATTGATATACAATGCCGCGCGTTAATATTAATAATGTATAAATTTTTTAATTTTTATTAATACAAAATATAATAAATATTTATCAAATGTAAAAAATAGTTTTTATTATTACTAATAAAGTGCAAGTTATTTTTTTTTCAAACATTTACATTATCTAAATTAATACTAATTAATTTCAAGTATTTTCATAACCAGCAACAAAATCATCATATATGGTATCTTCAAACACTATATCATCATTTAGATTATCATTTTCATCATTTAGAAAATCATAATCGAAAATAAAATCATCTTCTGTGCCATCTTTTGCTACAGAAATACCACAACATTTGAAGGATTTTTTGATTTTTTCAACATTAATGCTATCCCAAGCAACCTTAACCAATTGTGCTACTTTATTATAAGCAGGCCTTTTAATTTTTCTAGCAGGAGTAAGTTCAGGAACTTCTTCAGATATCCATTCATTATATAATTCACGAATCTAATAAAACAATAAATTTATTAAATAAAATTAAATTTTAAAAAAAATAATTATAAAAAAAAAAATTTACCTTAGATTTGAATATTTTATTGATTCTCATATCTAATAGTTGAAGTCTACCAGTTAATCCTTCAGGAATTATTACAATATTTGTTTGTTTTTCATCAAATCTATTTTTAACATTATTAACCAAATGATCACGAAAAGAATTAAATATCAAAAGACTTCTTGGATTATTATTTGTACCTCCCCTATTACACCACACATTTTCAATTCACCAAAGCATTTCTTTCTCATTAACCCAACCTTTTTTATTAACACTAATTTTAACTCCATCAGGAAAGATTTTGCGAGGAATATTTTATAATTACAGGTTCTAATTTAATATCATCTGCCATACATGTCAAAATTATTGTAAATCAATTTTTTTCATGACCAGTTGACCTAATACTAAC